CCAAAATTGTATACGTTGCAAGAATTGAGAAATGCAGAAAGCTATTTGTGCAGTAGGCTGTAGCTTTGTAACATCATGTGGAAATGATTATAACTGATTTGGCATCTTGAATGAATGAGGAAGTCTTCTGATTGTGGTTCATGTCAATCATGTAATTTCTTTCTGTTGTTTTTTTCTTTTGCCAAGCTGGCTTTATTAAAGAATGACAGTGATTTTTTTCCCCTATACTCTAATTCAATGATATAGTCTTTTAGGCATTGAAAGATGGAGACTCCTTGATGGATGTAGGAAGGCTGAAGGATGCTTTACCATACTATCAAATAGTTATTGATAAGCTGCCTTTCCAGGTACATTTTAATATATACGCAATATATGTATATATCATTTCATCCATTCTGGTTATTCCTTCATCTCTGGGGGTTTGGTTTATGCCTAATTACTAAAGTATAGAGTCACTATTTGGATGTAATTGGGATTTTTTTTAGTTTGCCTTTTATGGAAGATCATGCTATGTTGTTGCTGGACCAAAATTAGTAGTTTTACTACTCCTCCCCACCCCTTCCCCCCAATAAAAGAACACAAAATTTCTATTGATGACCAAAGATGAAGATACCTTAGAAGAGTAGAGCTGATGTCCTCGGATAGAAAGAGAAAAAATATTGAACGATGAATCTTATCACTGCATCCTTTGAAGCACTGGTTTGAGTCAAAGAAAAGCCTTAGCAACCGTTGTATCCAATTATGAAGGGTAGGTGTGGTGGCAATAGGGAAGCTAGTTATCCAAGCAAATGGATATTGTGAAGAATCAGTAAATACTACCTCTTACCTCGTTGACACCACTGTCGAAGCAGAATTACTTCAAAAGGGGGACCATTAATGGTGAATTAAAAGGAATTTTTTTGTTTTAATAAAAGTATTGTTTTCATGAGCAAAATATAAGGGTAATTGTTCAATTCCGGTAAACAACAAAGATTTAGTAAAAAAACTAGAATACTTGCTACATAAATCATGTTATTTTAACCTCTTAATTTATATTTGCTGATTGATTGTTTGCAGACTAAGCTTCATGGTTTGGCTGCTTTACAATGGTCAATTTGTCAAGATTCACTTCGTAGGTATGCTCTTGTAGGTCATGAGATCTGTTACTTGGTAGCATATATGATTCATATGATAGCTATCTTAGGTGCTAATGATAGTTCTGGTTCATGACCATCATTCTTTTGATTTCATAATATTGCATAATAATTGATGAAGCGAAGCATTTCTAGGATGTCACATTATACCGTACCGATTCCATGATTTTAATGCATCATGTTTGTCAAGCAATTCAGCTCATATGCCTAAGCAAAACATTTTTGGTGTGGTTGAAAAGTATAGTTTGGAAGATCCTCCTTGAAAAAGCCTTACCATGGTGCTCTTTTTGTGCTTATTAGCAAATTTCATTATCATTGCCTGCTTGCATCAAAAGGAAAAATGAACTTTAAAGATGAGCTGAAAGATCACATTTTAGTTACATTGGAGGGAATGATTAGATGCTCAGTGCATACTTGGTAAAGACAGAGAATCTAATGCAGGCCTGCAGGGTCTTAAACGATATTGGAGGGGAAAACTAGATGCTCAATACATCCTTGGTAAAGACTGAGAATATAATGCAGGGCCTTAAACTATAATTCCCCTTCTTTTCATTGGATGATTATCGTTTCTTTTGTTGGGTTCATAACTTCACATTTGTATCTTACACTTACCAAATGAGGCCGTTTTATTTAAGTATTACACTTTTATTTTTAGCAAACTACTCCATTAATATTGTATCTCTATCTCCTGTCAAAAAAAAAAAAAAGTATCTCTATCTTCTTATGGTCCCCCAGACCACTCATGCCCGTTACTACTTTCTTTCTTTTTTTTTATTTCTTTCCCTCTCACATCCCTTACTTTTTAATAAATTATTAACCCCATTATCTTTTCTTCTTATTTTTTAATACTCCAACTACTCTACTTACATCTTTTATATTAAATCAATTGATTTAGCTAAAACTATATGGCAGTCAGAGTGTAACACTAAAAAAAAAAAAAAATCGAAGGGGGTAATATATTATTTGGATGATGGAAAAAATGTTCATTTTGGTAGCCTATTGCTATATCATAGGATTTCCACTAGACCTTTGTCATCATTGAAGACATGTTCAGGGAGAAACCTCTAAACTAGGCTATTTTAAAAGCTTATGGTTTATGTGAAGGTGTTTGCACCTTTCTTCATGAGGGAGTTTTAATTTTTTTCTTAATGGGAAGCTACACAAACATGCTTAAAAGGGAGGATAATACATGTGTTACAACTACAACTCCCATGATGGAAAACAGTTTTGGAGAATAGGATATGATTGTAGGCTATTCCGCATTTCCACATATATCTAACTCGAGATCTCCCCACAGGAATTACACTTCTACAGGTTATTTACTGCTAATGTAGATGTGAAAACTTCAAGATCTTTATTATAAGCCAAGAAGCATAGTTATTATAAATCTTTATTATAAATCTTCAAAGTAGATAATGCTGGAAGATTTATGGACTTGTCATGCAAAAAATGCTGGAATAATTATACTCATATATTCATGGACTTGGCTGCAAGCCTCATTGTATGAAGCGTCTACGTCGTCTAGGAACCAATTATTTATGTTGCTAACTTCCAAAGCCTCAAAACGGTGATAATCTTTCTTGTATTTCCGGCTTTATCTGCAGGACAGAAGAAGCTCGATCTATGTATGAGAAGCTTCAGTCACACCCTACTGCCGACGTTAGCAAGAAGGCAAGACAGTTCGTATTTAGCTTCAAGGTGAGTAGCATTTCTATCATTCTATGGTTTCCTTCGTGATGCACCGTATTTTCTAAAATATGTATCATCATCAGCTAAAATTTTTGGTTATGATCTATATGTCAACTCATAAGCGATGTTTTTGATTCGCACTCTGGGTAATGATGAATTTTTTGTCTCACTGAAACATGCTTTTTTTATTCTTAGGCTATGTTTGGTTTGTTTCTATCCCGGAAGACCGAGTTGCCCAGTTATAGACACCTAAATGTTTGTCTCCTTAAAGATTTCGAAAATTGCCAAGAAATTGATCTATAATTAGTTCATACCATAAAAAATACCCATATCATGCATCAACTCAATTATAAGGCCTAATTAGGGGTGCAGGATGACCTAAACCTAGATTTTCTGTAAGGCGGGATCTGATATGCACAAACTGCTATGGAGCCTTCCATCCAAGGGAGGCAATTGCCACGATGGCCTTAATGCAACATGCATGCACGACACAACCCTTTTTGGAACACTTTCTACTCTAATTTACCCTGCAAGCAATTTTTAGTAAATCCTTCTTCATGGTGTAGGTTTCTATATCAATAAGCGTGTTCATATAATTTGTTTGATTCTTTATTGTTGCTTTATATATTATCAATTTATCATGCACGCTTTGTTAACATACACTATATATTATGCTTTGCATCTGCTATTGTGCTTCTTCCTATCCCTCTTTAAATACCTAATAATCGATTGTCATACCTAATAAAGATAACTTGCACAATTTTTAGGGTGTAATGTTTATAATTTAATGAAGTGGACATCATAATTAAATCTTTTTAACCACTGCCAAAAAAAATAAAAATAAAATAAAAATTGTGTGAATTAAGAAGCCAACCTTGTGTAGTAATTTGTGTTGATTATCATCATAAATTACGTAAATTGCATGTTGTCATTAATCTCTTTATTATAGCATTATTTTCATCCCGTCCCAATTTAGTGTGGCCCGTTTATTATGGCACTTAGGTTGAGAAAATAAGTTCGATGTTTGATAATTGAATGCTAGTGAATGTGATGGGAGATTATGAGATACTTTTAGTGAATAAGAGAGAGTGTAGCTGTGTAGAACCCAAAGTTTTAGTAGTGGGAAGAAAGTTAATCAAATTAGGACAAGAGTATTTGTGTGACATTGAATCAATAGAGGTCTCTTAATGGCGGATATAAGCTCTTCTGGCCTTGTCTGTACTCATCCCCAGATCCGCTATGATTCATGTTCAATATGAAGTTGTATTCTTTGTATATGCAATGATCTAACGTAGAAACATTTGTAAGATTGGTTCCTTTGGTATGCCCCTTCATAAAATCCAACAAATTTTATGACTTCCTATAAAAATTCATTGGCAACTCCCTACTTTGCTTCTTTTGTTGTCTCATTCGCATCAAGTAATTTACATTTGCAATAGGCTAATGCCTACACATTTGATTTGAGCACGTCTTTCTTAAGTTGAAGTTAATTCTTCTAATATAAAAGTGTGGCATACATTTTGGGGACTAAAGTAGCTTATATGTTGTTAATATGGCAGGCCATGGAAATGTTGAAAGTTACTAAATCAACTGCACCACCCAAGAACACTGGATACCAGAGCTATTTCGAAGCTTTTGTTGAGGACAAAGCAGATTATACTCTGGGTAGTGCTGAAGAGAAAGATGATACTTTTAATCAAGCTGCTTTGTATGTCGTCTTTCTCGCATCTCCCATTTTACTCGTACTACTACTGGTAGCTATCAGAGGATAGATTTTGGTTGAATGCCAAAACAGATGGTTCCTTTTTATGTACATCTTTGTGTATAAAATATACTCCATATTTATTTTGAACTATAAAAAGGTAATTTGTCACGTCCTATACTAGGAATCCCAGGATTAGTTAAACAATCTATGTCCTCTGCAAATTTCAACAGTAATATACAAGCCCTATAGTTTACAGTATTAGTTCAGTTCTTATAATACGTATTATCTTGTTTATTTAAAATGTGGTTTTGTTCTGGTAAATTTTTTTTTCTGCAAAGTTTGGAAGTTATAAAATGTGTAAAGATGATCCGATCCAAGAACAATATGACTAAATTTGAATTAATACAATCACCCTATTCACCACATCTGAATCAATATGACTAAAAAAATTCTTCATGATGACTAATGGAGCATGATCGCTAATTTCGTTATATTAATGGCTTCAAGGTGTGCAGAAATGTTAAACCTTATATCAGATAAGCTGTAGCAGCAATAGTTCATGTAATTCATGTCATTTAGGTGCTCCAAAAAAAAAAAATAACCTTAACAGTTTCGGCATAAGGTCCTAAGGTGCCTGACTGCCTGGTGATGCTATTTCGTAGCTCTTGTACAGGAAAACAAGTACAAGCTTAAGCTGTGAATGTCGACCGTTTAAGTAAAACTAAACATGATATCAAGTCAGATAAAACCTCCGGCACATAGAAGAATACAGAAAGGATACATCCTAACAATAAGAAAATTGTGCAGAAACAGTTACTGTCATTCGGGATAATGTTGTTGAGCTCCTTTATCACACCGCGCAACTAACTGCTGCTTAGGCTGCCTGTACATAAGAAATTAAGAAGAAAGGATTTGCTAACCCGAAAACGAGTAATTCAGTACTCCCAGTCCTTCTCCTTCAACTTCTTGTTGCCTTTAGGCCTTGATATCGGCTTGCAATGTGTGGTTCCTACAGGCGTTGGTACCTTGCATCGTTCAACCGTTTCGCGAAAAGAACATATTACACACATGTAAAGGATATATTGTTGTAAAGAAAAGAACATACTATTAAAAAGTAATGAACATATATCTAAAGTAAAAAGAACATATTTATATTTTTTTTTGACGGGAAGAACATATTTATATTAAAAAAGAGTGAAAAGAACATATGTTCATGTTCTTTAATTGTCAGTGTAATGTACTTTTATGTGTGATATAATGTTAATTAATTATTGTGAAATGTTATATACATAAATCATGTTCATTACATAATATTTTCATGTTCTTTATAAATATTAGGGATGTTCTTTAGATGTATAAAAAAACATAAAATTAGATGTTCTTTACAAAACAGTTATATGTTCTTTACAAAACAGCTTTATGTTCTTTAAAAAACTGCTACATGTTCTTTCCGCGTTTTTTTGCCTGTAGCTTGCTAGGTACAGGCGACTGTACCTTAAAACTTTCACAGCTTGTCCATGCCACCCATTCTTGCGTTGTGTCTCATGGAGAGAGGACGGTTGTAAGACAGCCTGCAATATAATTTAAAGATAACACCATGAATGAAACGATAGACAACATCCAAATAGATTTCACACGAAGTTACAACAACTTTACAAGCTAATGCTCTTCAGTCATAAGACAACATCCATCACGAAATTACAAGCTAATGCGCTCTTCAGTCATAAGACTCATAACCCTACAAACTAATTACTGTCTAAATAGTTTTCACATGAAATTACACCAACCAAATCTCTCATTATATACGGAGTATTACGGATATTGCTACGCCTTTTCCAAAAGACAGTCTAATAATTGTATGATTTGTATCACTTTTATATTATAGACCATTCATTAGACCATCTTTTCAAAAAGGCACAGCAAGATTAGCGATTTCCTTAATACTCTAATACTGAGAGGTTAATTGTGATGGTGTGAAATTAAAAACTAATTTAGGATACGTACTTTTGTTGTGTGTGTTCCGTTATATAACGCTTTTCTACCCTTCCAATTACAAAGACACGTAGTAACAAACATATTCTAATTCAATGATATATGAGTAATATGACGGATAACTTTTATACATACCTTTAATTTAAACTCTCATTCAAATACTATAATTTAAACCAGTAACATAACATTTACATCAAACAATGCCGTTTTTAAATACAACTCCACAAAATGCAATTCGTTTTAATACAAAGTTTGATCACCATAAGCTAATCAATCAATTCATTTTTGCTCACTAGAAAACTAATACCTAGCAGACCAATCAACCATTGCTAAATCATTATGTCCATACAAATCAACTTCTAATCGGACTTTAGGGTTAGGTCGTGTTAAGTCAAGTCAGTTTTTAACCCTCTAATCATGCATTCACAACATCCACTCAAACCCTAATTTCACACATTCACAATAATCAAACCAACAAAAACAATCAATTCAAAAATAAAAACAAAATAAAATGGAAGAAAGTGAGAAATTACGGGGAATTGAAATCAGAAGTATCCTCATTAACAAGGTGAGTCCACTTAGTCCTACCACGTCGGCCAAAATTCTTAACCTGCATAACCTTCGGAAGAATAGTCTTGTCCATCTTATCCTCACCCGTCGGCGCCGAGAAATATCGCCGGAAAATTTCATCGGAGCCAGCAGTTCCGGCAGGATCATCGGGATCCGATTGGAAAAAGGGGCCTCGATGATAATATTTCTGCATGAATTTTCTCTTCGTTTTATTGGGATAGGATTCTTGGGTTGTGCAATTTTTGTTGTTACTACCCTTTTCAATGGCTATTTCACCATGTTTTGCTGCCATTGATGTTTCTCTCTCTTCCTCTCTGTCTCTCTTCATCGATCTTTTGTGTTTCTTCTGATTCTAATTCGCGGGTGTGGGGATTTTCTTCTTATTTTATAGGTTTCGGGATGTCAATTCATGAATAATGTTGAATATTTCTAAATTGACCCCAAATTGAAGTTTAAAATTTAAAAATACAATTGGAACAAACACATAAATTCAACACTATAACAACACTAAGCAGTAGCTTCAGCATCATTATTCATGAATACCCATAAAATTCTACTACGTCTAAAAAATAAGCCCTAAATCTAGCAATAAATTATGAGAAAAAACCAAAATTGAAGTAAACTAGTTGTACAAGATTCATAGAGAACTTAGTTTTTTTTTTTTTTTTTTTTTTTTTTTTAATAAAAAAAAATTCATAGATAACTTACTTGTGCTAAGATGCTTGAAAAACCATTAATAATCTACACCAAAATCGCCTTCAAAGCTTCAATTTTTTTTTTTGAAAGGGAGAACAAACAGGGGAGTCGAGGTTGATGATGAAGAGTGGAGTTGAAAAGACGACACCTTTATTTTTTGCAGTAATTTTTTTGGAGTAAAAAACTAAAAACACCTAACACAATTTTATAAAAAAATAAATTCTCTTTTGTAAATAATTAAATCAGAACCTAAAATAATTAATGGGCCCCACCACTTAACCATAGTTAATTTTTTCAACTATAATTCTTTCTTAGGTCCCAAAGGGTGAAAGAAAAAAGTTTAGGTCCCAAAAGGTGAAAAATAAAAACTTTAGTCCCTAAATATTACCTTAACTCGGGAAAACACGGATAAACTCAACCAAAAGCTTAGGTCTTGTTTAACATCATTTTTGGACTTTCAGTTTCCTGTTTTTTTTAAAACTAAAAACAGGAAACAAGAAAAAGTTATTTCCACTTTTTAGTTGTCAGTTTTCAAAATTATTATGATTTTAATAAGTTTAAATAATTTTTTATTCATTATGTGACATAAATCATATATTTTTATACACCAAAAAACAAAAAACCACAGCAATGCCAAACGAACCTTTAATTCATTGGTAAATCAAATTATTTAAAAATAATTCAAAAGTGAGATTAGTTTTAGCGGATGCTCCAAATGTGAAATTATCCTAACAATTTTTTTCAAGAAAAAAGAGAATGATTGAATTAGGCAATAAATCAATTATTTTCTTTATCTTTTTGTCACTCCCACTATCCCTATATTTTTTTGTCCTACGTATTTGATTTCACGATTTTTTAAGATGCGTCTTAAAATATACGAGTATATACTTCCATTTTCATACGCGTAAAAAAATGTGTACTATAAAAACTTGATAATAATTAAATATACAATGAGAAAAATCCTAAAAGATCTCATATGATTATATTATCTCTTAGCAGATTAATAGTTCTTCCGTTAATTTTTATGTGCAACTTTGGAATATTTTATATCTCACAAATAATACCCCCAAAGTTGCACATAAAAATTAACATAGGTAGTATAAACTTAGGGCATGTTCACATTTAGTAAACTGAACTGGTTGGAGCTGAACTGAACTGAAATGAGTTGAAATGAATATTTTATGAAAGAAGGAAATTAAGAGCTAAACTGAAATGAACTGAACAGAACTAATTGGAGCTGAACTGAAATTAAGTTGAAGTGAACAGGTCTTTGATGTTAAAGTTTTTAACCTAAAGATTAGCAATGGGGCAAAAAAATAAAAAAAACATAGGGAGTACTTGCTATACTTGCCGTAAAAACAATTGTTTAAAGACTTGTAATTTTGCATATGTAAAGTTGAATTGGACCGGTCCAGCACTCTAGCATCTCAAACTGTCCATTTGTATATATGATGAGATTAGCCTAGTCCAAACAATACGCAAGCTTTAACACCTAAAACTCTGGACAGTCCATTTATATGGGCATATGTATGATGTTGTTAGAACGTGGCACACATACTTCACCGATCCAAGACCCAAAAATTAGCAAGATCTGTTGTTCGGATCGGTTGTGCTAGGACCAAACTCGAATCAAACCAAAAATTTATACTTCGTATATGTAAAAGAAAATAATTGTTTAACTTCTAATTTGAAGGTTTAGTATGAAGTAGCTCATAATATAAAAATATTTTTAACATATAAATTGACGGTAAAATTTAACCATCTAAAAGTAAATACGGAGTAGTGCATATGATTTTTTTTTTTTTTAGTTCAAGACTAGTTTTTGTTGGGTTTGGGCTGGAGTGAACCAAAAAAGATATAATTCCTCAACTCAGAGACCAAACTGATTCCTTTTGTGAGAGAATCTAGACTGATAAAACAAATTTTCTTACTTTGAAGAAAAATGCAGGTCACACAAGCCCACGATATTTGCTTATATGTGTATGGTTAATTTACATAGCTTTTTGAACGTGTTTTTGTTTAGTTGCAGTTGTATAAAAAATAAATAAAAAAAAAAAAAAAAAAAAAAGAAAGAAAGAAAGAAAGAAAAAGAAAAATGCATGAGAAATAACTAACCGTAATGAATTATGTTAACCTAGACATCATCTTGTCTAAATACTAGTTTTAATTACAGTAAATTATTAGAAAATTGCCATTATAAAGGCATACACATAACAAAATACTTGTATATTTTAATTGAAGTTTGTCTTATTATTTACATTGCCAATTTGCCATGAATGAATGTTTGACTTTGAATTGATCTTGTACAAAAATCGTCAAATTATAACAAAGGCATTAATAATACATTCACCATGCATACCAAATTGTTGCATAAATTCCACATTGCTACCTACATATCAACGGCTGTTGCATACTTGCAATACACCTCACCTTCTTGGTCCCCCAAATAACGTCTTTGTTACCAATTAAATGCAGAAAGCAAATTCAGCTTAAGTAACATACCTCATAAGTAATTCATACATACCACGAATTCACTGCATATGTTTAAATTCTGTTTGTTAATAATCGCAACATGTTGACGTTTACATTAACTATCCATTGTCTTTGATCATATATTTTTATTATTCCTTCTATACTTTTTGTAGGTTATGTTTGATTTATCTTATGTTGTCTGAAATTATATGATCTAAACTTTTTTGAACTTATTTTTTCTAAACTATCTTAACTTGTATCTAAAATTTTTTGTAAAAAAAAAAAACTTGTCTTGTCCGATTTTATTTATTTACTTCGTCTAAAATGATATGAATTTATTTTATCTAAAATATTTTTGTCTGAAATTAAAATTAAAATAAAATAAAACAGATATACTAGCAACTATTCCACATTTAAGATTGTATATATATATATATTGACTTATTTGATAAATGCAAAATCTAAGTGTTTGTTCTCCTCAGCTTATTTTCAGTTCAGTTTAGTTCAGTTCAGTTCAGCTACAATTAATTAAGTTCAGTTCAGCTACAATTAATTAAATTCAGTTCCTAATTTCCTTCTCTCATAAAATATTCAGTTCAGTTTAGTTTAGCTTCTATTAGTCCAGTTCAGTAAATTAGAATATACCCTAAGTATTGCAAATTTGCAATTAATCTGAAATGAATGTATTAGAGAGATAACATATTTTCTAATACAATGGACCACTTTGAATAATTATGTGAAGACTTTAGTTTGATTTGGATAGGTTATGTTAGCCAGTAACATGTGGGTGGTCTGCCAAAAACAGAAGAAAAGTGAGTGAAAAAAAAAGGAGGGTTGCTAAAAAGGAAGATAGATATGCTTACTTACTTGGGTGTGTAACTTGCATTATTATTACTTTTGAGAATGTTTGTGTGTAACTTAAGCTTGGAATTCACCAAAAGCTCTATATTCACATGGTTGGCGGTGGTGAAAATAAAGTGAAAAACAACCATTTTTCCACCTTATACTATCTCTGTTAATGGTTATCTGCAACTTTAGGGTATTATTTGTGAGATATAAAATATTCCAAAGTTGCAGATAACTATTAACGGAGGTAGTATTATTCTTCTTTCTAATATTTTTGAGAATAATAATAATAATATGGAGTACAAAAATAATGGATGGTTTATATGATTTGCCAATTTGCTTTCTTATTGAAGGGTTTTACTTCAAATATAATCATCCAAAGTGGTCCGACTACTGAAGATACTATATATACCATGTTATTAGGGGTGGGTCCTTTATAACTATAAGCCATAAGGGTTGGTTTCTCTTGGTTTTGGAATGGTTACATCTTACATGGTTTATTTTGACAAGGAATAAGGATGATGTGTTGGAGGATTATTCCTTCCATGTGGATGCAAATGTGTTATCCTGCGTAATTAGAATTTGTTCTCTTCACATGAATTAATATGTTCCCTTTGATTCATTAAGGGATACTAAGTTGTATACTTGTATTGGTCTAAATAAAGTTTAATTGTATTTTCTACCGATTAACGTATAAGAAAAATATTATTTAATGAGATTTTATTAGAGCAAGATAGGCCATATGAATAAATGTGTATCTTTCAATTATAATTATTCTATTTTTTTTTTTTAAGATGCAATTAAAAATATTTCGTTCTCTTATAAAAGCAATTGGGAATTTAAAACTTTAGTCTGATCTAATTTGAATTTTTTTGTATAGATTTATTGATATGATTTTGACAATTTAATGAAGTACAAATACGTAATAGGCTAATAGGATAAATTGTTTTTTATTGATAATGTTATTATTGAAGATTATAATGAAGTTTCAAGATCAAAATTTCACTGTCTATTAGGAAAAAAATTCAAGCCATTTTAGCTAATTATTTTCTGTCTAAATAATATTTATTTATTTATTATTATTATTATTACTATTATTATTATTATTATTATTATTTGAAAAATCTATATGAATGTAAACATTATTAGATGCATTTTAATTTATAATCAAGGTTAAATAGCTTTTAAATAGGTGCTCCAAACCTAGGGTATGTTCTAATAGACTGAAATCAGTTGAACGGAACTGAGCTGAACTGAATTAAACTTAAGTGAAATAAATATTTTTTAAGAGAAGGAAATTAGGAGCTGAAGTGAACTGAACTGAAAATAAACGATGAAAACAGGCCCTTATACCAGTATATATTTTGAATCAAGAAAGCATAGTACTTGACTACTTTCCTTAAAAATTAAAAAAAAAATTAAAAAAAAAAAAAAGAAGTACGATTTAGATAAGTTATTTAAAAGATACTAGGAAAAAAATGATTTAAAAATAAATGAAAATCCACTATAAAATATAAATCCACCCAAGTAAAGTATGACATGCTTTATAGCTAGAGCTTTTATCTATTTTCTGTTGTTGTGGGAATCAAAAAACCAAACACTAAACTTAGAAAATGATGAAAATTTAATGGTTCTTATGATGGTCGCTTGACTTGTGCGCAAATCTAAGCAAAT